ATACTTAGGAGTAGTTTGTGATTTGAAGTGTAATTTGAAATGGTTTTCAGAGTATTCTACCTTAGGGCATAAAATAGGATATGGTGAAGAGGACAGGGTGCTTGTTTTTCTTTCTTGAAAAATAAATGTACCTGATAAATCAATAGCCTATCTGATGCCACTGGCTATGAGGTAATTTTTTTCTCAGCAAACATATTATTTTTCATAGTTATGTTCAGCTTATTATTTACTTGTTAGATTTGAAGCAATACTGAATTCTTGAAGCTAGGAGAGAGTGTTAAAGATAGAGTGGCAACGAAGATTATCGAAGAGGTGACTTAATTGTTTTTCTTTAATTTGCTGCTTTTAAAGTTCTCTTATTTGACTTTGAAAGTTTTGAACTTTGGATCTTTCATTACAGAAATTTGTGCTCTCTAAGCTTAGCATATGTTGTTTTGAAATATTGAAGTGATTTGAGTTTTTGTATGATATGATGGTGTTATTGAGGTAATGTGTTTGAGCACAAGCTAGGATAGTGATGAGTTCTGACCTTGGATGGTAGCTATTAAGTCTTGCAATTTACAGTATTTACTGCTTTAACAAGCATTTACACGGCAATGCCAATGCTTTTCAGTAGCTTTTAGTTGTTTTTGTGATTTGAGTAATTTGGGTATATGGATTTTGATAAGTTTAATATTGTTTATGTAGTACCACTCCATGTATTTATCCTCTAGTGGTTTGGAGAAATGGGTTGTAAAGATTGAGCAACCCATAGACATCTTTCTCACGATACCCATTGTATCAGTTTCTCTTATATAAATGAGGTACACATTGCCTCAGTTTCTCCTATATGAATGGATAGCTCGACACCTTGTATCGTGATTCACATTACTTTGGTTATCATACTGGACACGTTGTATCCTCTGCTATGCATTACTTTGGATTGTTTTGGTTTAGTTCAGTTTAGTTTATTTGAATGTTTAGCTAAGCAAGCGAATCAAAGTTGCTTTTCCTTTAGTGTTGTGCTTGTAGTCTTATCAATTGGTTATATTGTTCATAGCAGTACTTATAGCAGTGCTTGTTGCATTAACAACTTGTTATATTATTCCTTTGAAGCTGAAGTTTAATAGCAGTACTTATTTCTTGAGCTGATTTTCTGCAATAGTTCGGGGTTGATTTTGATTTTCTGGGGCTGATTTTGGTTTTATTTGGGGTTGATTTTGAATGTACAGCTTTAATTATTGAGGTTCTTATTGGATTGCATATTTTAGCTAAGCAACCTAAGTATTGTTACTTCTCCTTCAGTGTTTTAATCCTCCCCTTATCTACTTGTTTTACTACTTTATTACAGATAAATGCTATTTAAACAAAATTTTGGAAGCTGTCTATAGCAATGACTGAAGGACGTTGAAGACAAAGTTACAATTTCTCATGCAAGGGTTCGCTTGGATGTTCTTTGGTTTCTTGAACTCAATTCCTTTTGTAAACGTACCTTATGAATATGTGATATTTAGGCACAATGTTACTTTTATAGACCTTTGTTGGGTAATGTGCACCTCAATATGACATTTCAGTACTGAATGTGCTATATTGGCATGTAGCCTAATGCAACAACTACTTTTAATTATCGATTGTTTAGATTATTTCTTTCTATTTATTTTAGATAAATAATTTACCATGCTAAATTGTGAGTTTATTGAAATGGAGCTGACAATGTTAAAGATCACAAATGACAAAAAAGAGCTGTTGCATAACAAGAATAAAAAACTCTTTGTGACAACAAAGCTTGTCACTAACTCCAAACTTCAATTGTGACAAGAAATGTTGTCAATAAGTATATCATATAAGTGACAACTTCTGACACTTTTCAGTGACAACCTTGATCAATACATCTCTGACAACATGTCAAGTCGTCAATAAAACTCTTTCATACTGTTGTCACTAATGACAACTATTCACTGACGACTTTTTGTGTTGTCACTATATACTTTTACCGACGGAGATATAGTGACGACTCTGTGACGACGCAAAAGTCGTCAATAAAAGTCATTAGTGACAACATTTCTATGTCTTGTGATGAAATATTGTTGTCACTGATGACCAAATTTCTTGTAGTGTAACTTATGAATAAGCAGAGTTGTTTAATACCAATTTTAAGCTTTTCAAGTACTGTTCTTAGCTATTTTTCAATATTCTACTAGTACTACTATGTGTTTTTTTTTTTTTTTGGTTCTTTAACCATAAGGTGGTAGAATATATATATATATATATGTATGCATAACTTTGTGGGTAGTATCTAATACAATATTTTTTTGATTATAGCATCGCTGTGACTGAAAATTTTCTTCCTTGTCATAATTTTCTAACAGACTATAATCTTTTAAGATTTGTCAAGTCACTTCTGACTATACATGATTGCTTGAAAAGGGTGATAATTTAGATGATACTTGCAAATTTGCGTGAAAATGGACATTATTTTTTTTTTATGTATATAAAGAGAAAGGTGCCTGATTGCTTGATAGAAAGAATACATATGATTGAATCTAGGTAGTGCATTTTACATTTCAATGATGGTGATATTAACGGTGAATATATAAGAAGTCAATTTTCCGAAAACTTCTAATAGCAATCACGGAGGACCTTAATATTGTAAAACTTGAATCGCAGAATTATAGGGCACAATCACCGAAATTAAAACCGTCAATGAAAAGAGAAGAGTTAAGTCGTTCTTTTTCTTTTTTTGAATAGGAAAAATTAATTAGTGTAGCATATCTCTTTTTAACATATTTAATACGACAAAGTAGTTTTGCTGCATGAGTTAATTTAGGGACAAAGAATTATGGGCCAAAGTCTGATGTTGATGAATCTCGGAATAGCTAATGTTGAACGAAGCTGCGAAAAGACGTGATTCTCGAAGAAGTTGAATTGAAAAGTTTGACCCTAATGGGCCATCCAAAGCATCGATCTGCTCGTGTTTCACTTCAAGAAAGTTAGCTCCTTAGTCATGATTGTGACCGGGCCATAGACATGCAGACACATTTACCTATGGGCGACTGGACGCCTTTCAGGTCCGCATATGAAACATTGAATCTAGCTGCCTGCTTGTTTTAATTTCCTTGAGAATGAAAAACGTGAAACTTAATCGTTTCTGTATCATCATCTAGGGCCTGTTTGGAACCGAGTTTTTTGGCTAAATTTTTTAGCTAATAATTTTTTAATAACTTTAACTACAGGAACCTAAAAAAACTTATCAAATTTTTTAACGTACACACTTCAAAATATCTAATACAGAAAAAACTTCCTCTTTTCTTTTTCTTTCTCCCCCACCCTTATCCACCACACCTTCATCGCAGGCCACCTCACCGCCGCCGGGCACCACCACCTCCGCCGCTGTTTCTAGCGTCCACCACCTATTCCGGAGCCGGCCTACCCCCTTTTTTTTTCCTTCTCCCTCTCCCCCTCCCCCTCCCCCTCCCCCTCCCCCTCCCACTCTCCTCCCTGGCCACCCTCCTGCTTCCTTAGCTGCGATCTGGTCACACGGTAGCAGATCGCAGATGCGATCTGGTCGAATGACCGGATTGGGCAAAAGGGGATGGGGAAGGGGAGGGGAGTAGGAAAGGGGAGGAGAATGGGAGAGGAAGATGGAGAAGAGGGGGAGAGAAAAAGCAAAAAAAAAAAAATTGTAGGTGCCATGGCTGCTGGTTCTCTGCTTCGGGAGGGAGAGGGAGATGGTGAAGGGGAGTAAAGGGGGAGAGGGGAGCAGAGAGGGAGAAGAAGGGAAGAGAAAAAGAAAAAAAAATTTGGGGAGAGGGGCTGCTGGTTCGTCTGGTACCGCGAAGGAAGAGGGAAGGGGAAGGAAGGAGGAAGAAGAAGAAGAAGAAAGGAAAGAAAAGAAAAATGAAAGAAAGAAAAAGAAAGAAAAAAAGAAAAAAAAATGGTAGGACCATGGCTGCTGGGAACTGGGAAGACAGAGGTAACGGAGGAGGGAAGGGGGAGGGAGAAGGAAGAAGAAGAAGAAGTGAGAAAAGAAAAGAAAAAGGAAAGAAAGAAAAAGAAAAAGAAAGAGAAAGAGAAAAAGAAAGAAAAAAAAAAGGAAAAAAAAAATTCACCTTACAAAAACTTCTACAAAATTTTTTCAAAAACTTCTACAGTGCACTACAGTAAAGTTTTAGATAAACTCCCAAAAAACTCAAGTTCCAAACAGGCCCTATATTCTGAACCTTAATTCTTCTCAAGAAACTAAAATGGAAAATAAAAATAACCCAAACAAAAAGCCAATGATGTCAGTAGCAGAGCTAAGAGCATATGAAGAGGGGAATAGACATTAAAAAGGAATATTGAATATAAATACTTTAAAAATCTTAAAAAGGAATAGACATTAAATTTCTCTAGCTATAAGACGAAAGTAAAAAAAAAAAAAAAAAGGAAGTAAAAAGTGCAATTTTAGTAGTTTTGATGCAGTTTTAATGCTTAAAATTTTGACAAATGCAAATTTGGTCTTCACAGTTTAGCGCAAGCGTGATTCTAATCTATAAACATTTGGAAAAGCAAATTTGGAGCAAATTTCAAACAATTGACGATTTTTTCCAAATACCAACAAAATCAGTCAAATTTGGTCACACATTTTGTATAAACTCGGGACTAGATTTGCCTGTCAAATCTTTAACAACTAAAACTACACATATTATACATTGAGGATCAAATTTACTCTTGTCAAAACTTTAAGAACTAAAACTGCATAGAAACTAAATATTAAGAACTAAAATTACATTTTTTTTCCCTATATTACAGTATTAGATCACGATTTCAGGGGGCAAGAGAAGGACTTCGTACGCAAATTGTAAAATTTCATAGAGGGTAAGAGAAGCTTTTAAAATTTAAAGGGGAGGCGAGGAGGGCCCAGCTGCATGCCTCCGCTTTATGCTATGCTATGAAGCCATGTACAGCAGACAGCTAGTGTTACAGAAATTGTTGAGGAGCTCCTGAGTTTCCCGCTTCAGTGGGTGAAACTGTGATGGGATTTAAAGCCGTAACCTTCTAAGGAGTGCAGTTTTGAGAGCATCCTCAGTAGCCAAAGCATCATTTCTGGGAATCCTAATCACAACATCGTGTAGCATCAAGTCCTGTACGGGGGAGAAGCTTGCGGAGCAAACTTGGAGCTCCATTTGTCGCAGTGCATCCATCAATTTGGCTGATGGGTAATTCACATCCGGACATAGAATGTGGAGAATGGCTACCGATCCATTTACAAACTTTACTTGGATTTCATGACTCGAATTATTAGCAGTATATGGAACACTACTGTAAGGTTTAGATGACATTCCGCTTTGATTTTGATCAGCTGTGACGGTGCTTTGAGTCTCTTGAATGAAATCCCCGCAGCTTGTGGCAGTAGTAACAAGTAGTTTGCGATCATGATATTGTGCTCCTCCTAGCGATCCAACTCCAACTCTGGCCTCCAATTCCTGAATTTTGGCCTTGAGCTCGTTGATGTAAGCGACTGCATCTGCAAGAAGCGAGGCTTTGTCCATTCTGGATACGTTGGGTACCACGCTTCTGAGAGCATAGAATCTGTGATTGAGCTTCTCTCGCCTCTGCCTTTCTGCCTCCACATGGTTCAGCGCCATTTCTTGCCCCGTCATGGATGCCTCTCTCATTCTTCTTCTCGATGACGGCGATCGGACCTTGCTCCATTTTCCTGCCGCCTCGGGCATGAAATTTTGAGTTTCCAATAGTTTGGGACCAGTGTGAGCCATCCCTGCAGATCCAGTTGATATCCGCTGCCCACCTATTGGTGTCAACGTTCCTGAAGCGGATTCATCATCAATGTTCATAATTGTTAAGTTGCTTTCCTGGGGCTTGTCTTCCTGCAGTGAGTTTTGTTTGGGATCATGACCTAGCAGGCCGCCAATGTCAAACAGTCCTCCTCCTGCAGGAGTAGTATTATTACTACCAAGGATGGCGTCTCTGGTGGTGGTAGTTGTACTAGTACTGCTGGTGCTGTTTTGATCTTCTGAGCCAAACAGTGTCTTGCAAAGTTGCACCAGTCCCCAGTCTTCTTTTATCAATTCTGAGGATCCCAATTCCAGAATTCCACCTGAAGTGGAGATGCAAACAAAAGTTTTAACTCCATGAGAATGAGCTTCTTTAGCCCTCTCGCAGTTGTAAAACAGGAGTTGGTGATCTCCAACTAACCACGCATACGAACCCGAATTGAAGGTTCGGACCAGAAGGTCTTCTCCGGACACAAAGCACCTGGTCAGCGACAGCATATAAAACCACTCCGAATCAGCAACATCCCGGCCATCACCAAATCCATCGCTTTTGCTGTGGGAAGTAGAATCCCTCCAGGGAAAGGACGAAGGAACTTCTTTCCCTGCCTTCCTTCTCCCGAAGATGTCCTGAGTGGTCACCTTCACGCCGTTATCGGCAAGTGGTTGCTGTAGTAGCAATCCGTTGTTATTGCACGCTCTCTGGGAACAGTCTTTAGGCCCGCGGAAATGGCCATCACCCCACGACAAAACCAGGCGCCCGTCTCGATCCCTTGATGCCTGCCAGAAGATAGAATAAACCCACCACTCTCGCTGGTTTTGCATGATGAACTGCAACCGTTGCTTAGGTGCAGCAAGTGTTGCTTCGCAGAGTAGCGAAGCCGGAGAAGATGCTGCAGCAGCTAGAATGTCTTCCATTGATATTAGTCACTACAGACCACAAAATGATGAAGATGATAGGGTCTGATTTCAGATACAGAGATACAAGATATAAAATACTACTAAAAGTTTCTTACTGTTTATTTCCAGAATTACGAAAGAGGAGAATAGGATGAGTTTCAATTGGTGGGCAAGGGATTCAAGAGTTAAATACTGCTTATATGATTCTAAGGTAAAAGGGCTAAGCGGTATATATATTTTTCTCCGGGGGCAGCGCTGTATTACGTCCATTCCCTAACTGGGCGTCAACGTTATACCCGCTCAGCGTGTATCACGTGCAAATTTCTGATTCCCTAGCAATGTACCACAACCAACCAATAATTAGACATCTACCCCTAACTATCTTCCAAAACTAATAAGCACCCTTTTTTTTTTTTTTTTGCCAACACGATAGGGATTCTATTCTATAATTACTCCTATTCTATATTAAAGGGAGGAGGGAACCTAAAGAGATTAAAGGGGAATCTAGCGAGTCACCACCGGTTCAACGGCACCTACTGACGAAATTTTTAAAAGAGTTTGGATATTATAATACATGTAAATCAAGAAATTCGATCCCTTGACCTACAATCAAATAGAGATATAAACTTTCTTGGTGTCCAAGTACCTAAATACCATAAGGTTCTCATAACTTCTTAATGGAACACTTTAGTTTGTCTTTGCCCTTAGATTTGTATATACAATCATGCACTTAAAAATAATATACCACATACTTTGCCCGTTGTGGCCTCTAACGGAGATTGAATTGCGCTTATTTTCTGCTATGTAGTGAAGTAGAAATTTAATATTATAATGCAGGCTAGCGCTACAATTGGTCAGGCCTCATTTCTATGTGGAAAAGAATTTTAATAGTGATTTGTAATTCTAAATTATCACTGATAGCTCCTTGTTCAAATCAATTGAAAATTTATGAGTTTTGTTTTTAGCTATTTTACTAGAGAGAGAGAGAGGAGTTTGCTTCTCGTAATTTGCATCTATCTAGTAAAATATTCTTATTCATTTAGCGGTATAAAAGTTTTTCCATTGAAAAATAGTTGTCAAAATTTATTACAGTTCAACCAATTTACTACAACTTGATAGTATATACAATTGATAACTTAGGGTACAAATCACATATGGGTGACAATAGAGGTGGCAATATGGATAAATGGTTCATAACTGGTTTTGACTTAATGGATGGTGGATGAAATTTATCCAATCCATTTAGATCCATTTAATAAATGGATCTAAATGGATGGATCTAAATGGATTAAATAAAAACCAATTATCCATTTATGATCCATTTATATATTTTGGTTATTTTTTTTTGTATTACCATTTCTTATAATATGAAGATACATTTTTTATGTACTTGTAAATTTTAGGTGTATATGAATGAGAAAAAGGACAAAATACTTAGATTTAGAATGTGTGTGTATGTATTCTTTATTACTCGTCAGATATTATATTTTTCATTCCATATAGTAAGTATACATCAATATAAATCAGAATTGTTCAGTCTTTACTCTTCTCCAGCCACAGATTATAATCTTTTTAACATTTCTATAGACGCTTTTATCTCCAAATGATCCAAAATAAAATGTCTATGATAGACGTGAAGTTAATAACCAGAACAACCTTAATTTTCTTTCCTGAGTGCCTGATATATCAATTAAGCACTGCAATTTATTACTACTACTAAACTGGTCCAAGTCCAAGAAGAGGAGAAGGACAAGGTCTTTAATCTGTTAATTACAAGTGTAAAAGTAGAAAAAGAGAAAAATTAATAATAATAATGATCCACGAAGGGATAAACAATGAAGATAAACCAAAGAGAAACTAATAAAGGTGGCTAAGATTACTGGTAGTGCAAAATATTTACTGGGACTTTCTTTTTTTTTTAATCGTTATTATTCGGTAAATCCACATCCATGTGTGGGTGCAGACTGTGCAGTTAATATATGGTTAAATTAGTTGGTCCTGTTTTGTTTGTGTGCGGGTCTAATTCTGGTGACTTTCTCACTCTATGACTCGCTGCTCAATAACGTGAAGAAATATATGGTTTTAGTTATTTCTTTTTCATTTCTTTTATTTGATTTTTAAGTAAATGGATATATATGGTTTTTATGGATAATCCATATAAATCCATTTAATTTAATGGTTTTACTTTGGTCAACCATTTAAAACCAATACTATAAATGGATAATCCAAATCCATTTAATTATGAATTATATGGATGGATAAATGGATTTCAATCCAAATTGCCACCTCTAGGTGACAATTTAGGAGTGCATATTGCTATTAACCCAAAATGACATACCGCTGCATTGCCCTGCCCCCAACGGTGAGACGCAGCATAAAGGCAACATGGAAGAGTGAGCAACAGAATGACAGTAGGGTCCATTGATTCCGGAAGGAAGAATTATGATGACATTCACACTCACAGATCAGAGAAGGATTACACCGCACCGGCAATCACCGTGATATACTGTTGCCAAAGTTTTTTTTTTTTTTTTTTTTAAGGATGCTGTTGCCAAAGTTCTTGAACAGGGAAAAAACCAATCTCTATCGTGAAAAATCAGAAAATCAAGTAGAACACTGATGAATAGTACACCCGTCTGGTCCGGTGGTGGTTCTGTCCCCATCGGTTCCATAGGCTCAGTTAAGCCTCCCCGTAGATAGAGTAGGAGTAGAGATGACAATCGAAAAAAAAAAAAAAAAAAGTAGAACACTGATGAAGTATACATTAGCAGAGTCTGTTGGGATATAATAGTACATGAAAGAAAAGCATGAGAATTAGCGAGTTAACAAAGCATAATAAAGACTAAGGCCTTGTTTGGATTGCATTTTCTTGAATTTTTTGTAGAAAAATTACTGTAACAATTTGATGTATGTGAGAAAAAAAGTAACAGAAAAATGTGATTACAAAAAACGACGCAATTTTTCGGCGAAAAATGACTGTCCAAAACGGGGTTTAAGATTTTTTTAATGCATGCACCCGTTCAACTTTGGAAATGAATTCCACATTCATGCACGTGTTTAAGAAGCTTTAATATGGTAGTCACGTCATAAATTTAAGGGTGTCAGTTGGCTCGATCATGCATTACAGAGTCATGAGACCTGCCAAAAAAAAAATTTTTCTATTTATGAAAGGTTCCTATTCTCTTAAATTGGCTTTGTAATAATTGTCAACCATAGAAGATCCTAATATGTGATCTTTGCTCATAATTCCGTACAGACCCGTCCTCATGGATTATGAATTAAAAAGAAATGCTATACTCCATGAAACCGAAAGTCAAAAGGTATATAGGAAGAGACCCGAATTGTCTAGGGGGTAAGAACGATAACATGGTGAAGCAGAAAAAAGGTTTCTATTCTGGGCAAGCAGGAAGATTATGCGCATGCCATCCAATTTATTTGTTTTTCTAATTTTTGCCAAGGTATTAATGCTACCATGATTTTAGACTAGAAAAGCTGTTATTACGTACACAATCTACACTCCAGAGCATAGAGAGTCAACTTGCACAAATGCTTGTTTCCCACATCTATCAAAAGTCCCCTGTGAGACCTCAAGAGTTGCCGGCTTTTGGGGTTCTCACGGGAATATGGGTTGACAAATCTATCAAAAGTCCTTTGGGCTTGGAAAAAAGACATCAGCCTCATTCACGGGGGGTAACGGGTCTCTTTAGGTTCAGCCCACCGCAGGGCAGGCTCCCTTGTGGAGGTTGATATCCCACATCGGAGAACTAGGGGGTTGGGTAGTAGTAGTTAAGTCCCCTGTGAGACCTCAAGAGTTGCCGGCTTTTGGGGTTCTCACGGGAATATGGTTTGACAAATCTATCAAAAGTCCTTTGGGTTTGGAAAAAAGTACAAAACTACTACTCCCTATAAAAATTGTTCATGTTAAAAAAATGTTACCTAATGGGGAGACATATTTTTTGCTTTCTTTCCAAAACTAGCTATTGACGTTTGCAAACAAAGCAACGATGCAAGTAATAATTTGGGTAGCCCTCCTTGGTTCTTTTGTTTGGAGAATGTTGTCCCTCAAGAATTTTATCCGAATAGATTGGAGAATTTTGTCCTGAATGGAAAAGCCCCAGATCAAACCAACAGCGTCTTATTTTCTAGTGTTAAGGTGACATCATCGCCACCCTCCAACGGACTTGAAAAATCTATTTTTTAATCACTTTTTTATTTCATATATATCAAATTATTGCTGTACATTTTTTTTAATATAAAAACTCCAAAAAATAGCAATCCAAAAAGACTTGCTTTTCTAGTGTGGTGTTGATATTAATTTTCTTGATCTTCCTCCTCAGCATTCTTTCCTATTAATTTTCAAAATTACACATTTCCACGGCAGAGGTTGCGCTTAATTAGGGACTGCAACATGGACACTCGCCCTGTAGGGGAGGAAGGGGGGGGGGGTGGGGACATAACCCTGCCTAACAAATATAAATAAAATTATTAATACATCTATATTTTCCATGTTAAATTATTAACACATTTATTTTTTTCCATGTTATGTTGGCTTAAACTAATAATAGTAGTGGTAATATTAGTTTTTCGTAACGATAGTACTACTAGTAATAATAGTAGTGGTAATATTAATTAGTCTTTTCTAATAATAAAGGTGCTAAGAGAGAAGAAAAGGAAAAGAAAAAAAAGGTGCAGTACTCACGGGACGAGATGAGTTACATGGCGACGGAGCAAGTTTGTGACCCGCTCCATTGCCATCCTTTCCTGAGCTTTGATTCTCCCTCGACTTAAACCCACAATGGTTGGGCAAGCAAAATCATATAGTACTTATTTGGTGTTGAGTATGATTAAGGAGTTTATATATGATTACAAGTTGGCTCAGCATAACCATACGTACTCTTACTTATTTGGTTTTGATTTGGAAAGTAAAGTAACTTTTGACATGACTCTAGAACAGTTTAGTTTTATTTTTCAAAACATTGAAGAGAGCAGAATCTGTTTTTTTAGAAATTTACGGATGAGAAAATGGAGGAATCTTATAATCAGTTAATTGGTCTTTGCGTGTGTGTGTGTGTGTGGTGAATGAAGACAATGTTGACTCTGTGGCCGTTATTGGTAGTATATTTCAAACAGCAAATAAAAAAAGGGAAGATTTTGTTGGGTTTCACTCATTTCCATCCCTCTCATGCTGACAACAAAAACAGGGAAGTTTCTGTTCCGGACATTGACGATTTTGTGAGCCAGTGCTGACTAGGCATCCACGTCAGTTTGGTCATCCTAAACAAACAACAATATTGCTGGGGGCGCGTGTATGGTTCGAGGGTGATTCAATTTTCATCGATATACGTATGATCCTATTGTGTCACCTCCTAATATAGATTAGAGTAAAAGTAGATGTAAATGGAGGCCATGAAAAAAAAAAAAAAAAAAAAGGATTGAAACTTGGGATGCCGCGTTTAGAATTGCTTGAGGCTGCAGGCATCCCCTTGATGTCCCTCCCAAACTAATATATATTATTATTGTCTCCCGACATATACGGTCTGTTATTATTTTGAAAAACAAGCTACACATACTTGGATTGCTTGTTTGGTCTATGTTTGGTTACACAATCCATATCTATCTAAACTAATACTACAACTGATTTGTAAAGCAAAAGACATATACTGTGTATGGTAGGTACTATGTATTATTCGGAAATGGCTGTCTGTACTTCTGAAACGGACCCATGGCCGCAGGGATGGTCCATAGCCGTAGGTTGTGTAACCGTGGTGATCAGTGTCCATTGTCCCGCACCTATCCTGTATAGCCCCTGTTACAATTACAACATGCAAGGCACGTGTTGTGCTGTGTTTGAGATATGTCGACTTTTCCTACGGATTTTGTTAGATTGTGTTTGGTATTAAAACAATTTAGCGAATAGTAGTTAAATAAATTTTGTTGTTGTGATATTTGATGACCAAAGATCATGGTGTTGTTTAGCAGCTAAGATTGCAGGTGCAGCTGCGTAGATCGAGATGGGGGCGCGGTCCCAAAGCGAGAGTGAGCGGCCGAGGGTTGCGATCACTTTCAGTTATAGGACATGGAAGCGCCGTTGGTACAAGTAACTGTGTGTTGTTAGGTTCCATGAATGTAGATGAATGATGGAAGAAGGATATATTATTACTGATCACAGAAAGGAAAGGTTGGGGCGAGGGGGCGTGGAGGGTGGTCAACGTCGTCCACATGGGAATTATGGGCGGCTAACTGTTTCCTCAAATTATCGCCAATTACGCCCCAATGAAATCCCACCACCACCCATCCACACACACACACACACAGGGCCCCCTCTTCCTTTCTTGGAAAAAAAAGAATACAAAATTATTTCTTGTTACGTTGATCACCATCCAGAATCCCTACAGTTAATCTCAGGCATGCCTTTCACGCGCGCTTCTTGATTGCGAGTTCTTTCCTTAGGAACCAGTAGAAAATCAACCACGATTCATGGTAATGAGAGGATCACTATCCAGTCCATCAGATATGAGAGGATCATCTTTCTTTACAACTCTATCTACTAAAGGTAGTGCTAATTATTTCGCTCTCAACCTAAAATTTCAAGTGACTAAGATGTATATGCATATTCTGTTTTATCGCCAGTCTTTCTTAACCAGAAAATGGCAAACTGGCGACAGCACTCATAAAACGAAAACAATTGTCTTGGGAGTGCAAAAGTACAATCCCTACATTTGTTTCCCCTTTCAAACGGTCCCCAGTTAACTGATGATTGACATGAACGCCCACCCACTAACTTTTTCAATCGTAGAAAACGTCTCATCGGACGGCCATCGTCTCAGCTCCAGTTTATGATGCAACAACACACCTTAGACATGAAGGTCAGGTCCTGATCAACAGTTAGCTATGGCTAATGAAAGAAGGCTAACCCAAGGTGGTGGTGGTTGTGGATTTAGCTGCGGATTTTCTCTACTAACCACCATCCCATCCCCACATTTATTTTATCCAACTTCAAATTCCACCAATCTCTAAACTCATGGTCTTAGAAAACACACCCCCAAAAACCAAAAAAAAAGGAAAAAGAAATGGTGTCTAACTTGTTTACTCTTTTTTTTTTTTTTTTTTAATAATCCTTTTCCCCATTATTGAAATGGGCAACAATTTTTCTACGAAAAAGAAAAAGAAAGAAAAGGGCCAAGAGATTGGCAGGCCGAGGTTCATTAACTGACTGAGCAACAGTCAAGCGGGCTCGGCCTATTCAGTCCATCACCCATCATGAGCGCTCACACCTTAAATGACCCAGGTTTTCCCCGGCCTAATTACACTGAATAACTAATTGGGCTTTCCAATCGTGCCCTAACCATTTTTTTAAGCTTCATACCTCAACTTGGGCCGTTAGAGTCCATTTTCATTTCTGTACAATTCGATTTCCACGCCCTTCGCCGCCCTTTTACCCAAGCAATAATGAAAAAACGACTGCTTTCTAGCTATATAGGATTTGTAAATAAGAGACGAGATGAGGTGCCAAAAAACAAATAAGTTCGAAATGTAGTACCATACAACAGTTAAAAAGAGTGTCATATTACAGTGCATTACAATGTACAGTAAAAAAAGAAGGAGAAGAAGAAGGGGTGGTAGCTGTAAGATTAGTATAGCACAAATTTTGTTGGTGCAGGCAGGCTGCGGACGACCAAACCGAGCTATGCGTCCTAGAATTGCTGAGGTGAGGTCTCCACGTACATACAAATCCACAGGCCACAGGGGAAGAAGCCTATTTTTCCTTTCTTCTTTTTCTGAGGAGGGGAGGGAGGAAGTCAAGTGAGTCGGTCTTCCAAGACTCACAACATTTATTATGCTAGCAGTGGTACTGCTAGCATATGCTAAAGAGTTGCTGATTCTTCGTTTTGAAAATTAAAGTTTGAATGAATAGGTCAGGACGTAGGACTTGGGAGCAATACCAAATAGTAGTATGTTTTTCAGCCACCGAGTGGCGTTTCGAGGAAAACGCTTTCCATCACTCTAAAACGGGGCTGAAATCGGAGAGAGTAACCTGACATTTTGACTTTGCTCCCAAACTCCGATAACGACCACCCGCAATTTACTGACTATTGGTTTTACTGAGAATTAATCTTAACTTAATTGGCTGACAACTTTTTAAATGATTGATTGCCAGATAAAAAAATGTATTGCATGTCAAGAACCTCCGGTTTTTCTATTAATAAAAAAAATACTGTACTTTGTCATGTGGTTTTTCATTTTCACCACCTCTCTCTTATTTTTTTGTCTGCTGCTTACCCTTGCTGCCGAGGAGCGGAACTCTTATTTATTTTCTGCTTTCCAGTTTAGAAGCAAGCAAGGAAAAATGGACCTGATTAATCTTCTTAGCCGGGAATTAATGTTACCAAATATAGGGAGTATACACACACGGCTCTTTATTGTCTATTGGTACAAAGTTCGAGAATATGTGTACATTCAAATGATGATCGGGCTAGCTATAGGCAATCTTGATAGTAGTACTAGTAATACTTACTGATGATAGCACAAAGCACATTTAGACTTCAATTTGGTTTTTTTTTTTTTTAATTTATATTATTGATTATTGAGCTGGCTCCGTTAAAACATTGACTAGAGTTAAAACAACTGGGAATACTGAAAAATCCCACTAATCAGGGGAGTTGCTGTAGGAAAAGGAAATGTGGGACGAAGACGGGAGGGCCGGAGGGGGAGGGACTGGGGGTCCTGCACAACTCAACCTGACAACTCTCTACTGTACTTAGTCCCTACTCCCTCCCTAGTCCCAAGTAGCAGTAGATTTTTGTGAAAAAAAATAGGAGTTATGTGTAACTTTCCACTTTCCAGCAAACCAGAGCCAAGGGTAAAACAAAAGAGAGTAGAAAATCCAAGAATCCATGGCCTGGAATGCGACACTATGCTGATATTGACTCTACTATGATGTCTAGAGAGAGAGGTCAAGAAAGAGAAGAGGGCTCAGATAATTGAAGGCATTCATTAATGCTATCATATGATGCCTCAGGTTCAGGAATTGATGACTCAATGAGAGAAAGAGAGAGAGAGAGAGGGTCTGGCCTGCTTCACCCATGCCATCCCATACAACCAAAGCAAAAGCCAGGCTGTCAGGCTATTTGTCGAGTGACGACTGATCCCTGACCACCCCTTTCCTTCCCTCACTTCCCCCAATTCATTTATTTTTCCATGTCATCTCCTCCTCCTCTTTTTACTCTTCCATCTTCAATTCCCTGCTTTTGTTTCCTGCACTGCTGTATCTGGGCTTCATTGGAATCCACACTAGCATAATCAGCAGATTGAAAATTTACCAAGTGCCGTAATATATATATATATATATTAGTATTAGAAAGAGCGAAAACATTTCCCTCCACTCCATCTTTTTTTGAGCAGTTTTTTAGCTCCATCCTTATTTGCTTTTTGTCCAAGCATATGACCCGAAGAAGCAGAGACACTCTACTAGTACTGCTTTCTTATACAATGGCATCAATCGGGAAGTAGGACATAAAGTTTTGCAGATGGATGCAAAACTTTATGTCCCACGTATCAACTGGAAAAAAAAAAAACAAAAGTAGAGCTTCAGTGCCACTGGGCTAGACTAATTGCCATTGTTTTTTTTTTCCCCCTTTTTGGGGTTAAAAAGCCAAAAAAAAGAGCTCTAGAAAGGCAAATCTCAACTATAAATAAATCAAAAGAGCATGTTCGAGGAGGAAATGAGATGAGAAAAAGTGATGAAAGACCAAGAAAAGAAATTGCAAAACTAATTGAAACTTGAAACTGAACAGGATTTGCTGAACGCCCAATAGTAATACAATGATAGTATAGCGTTCAAATATTGTAAACCTATTGTCTTTAATCTCCTAGCTATTGAATCACCAAAGAGCAAGTAAAATCAGGGGAAGTTACAAGGCATTATTAGTCATGTCTGATAAAAAAAAAACAGAAAAAGAAAAGAGTAAGAGAAGAATAGCCATTTCTGATCATGACTAACAATGCAAATTTCACAATAAAGGACTTGTATTCAAGAATAACATTACATCCGAGAGAAGAGAACTGAGTTGGATCTTGCGACTGAAAGCTCTGAAGTTTGAACAATCGTACAGACATGAGGCAGGTCTTGATTTACAACAACAGCGTAGGGTAGAGGCACCAAAATCTGAAGTAATGAACAGTACTCCATCTCGTCGCATCAGTGAAATACTTGTTGAATTTTGGATTAATACAAAAAAACGTCTATCATTTCATATCTAAGGAAACCTGGCTGGCCCAATGAGACCAGCCATTATTCCTGCTGCAACTTTTGGGTTACTTCTCAAACACACATTCTATCTGTATATGAGGAAGCTTTACAAAACTATATTCTTTCACTTGCCTTGAAGCAATGGTTTTCGTACAGATATTACACCAGCTCTAAAACATGTCCATGCAAGGATATGACTTGGACTTGATGCAAAATCAAAATCGGGCATTCATTAATCACTGAAATCATTAACCAGCGGAAAATATACATGAAATTGGACCCATGTGAATAAGTTGCAGCAACGCATCTGTTAAAAAGCGTATAATGACGAAAGAATGACCAGTGAGTTTTACGGTAGTAAAAGTGATGCTTAAGATAGACTTGGAAAGGATCTAATATCAGGTTTGTCAACATAAAATTTCAAATCGTGCTTTAGAAGTTGGTGTGAGGAAAGTGTGACAACTAATTATGAGGGCTGCTAAACGAGAAGAATAGGGCGTGTAGTTTTAGCCTCTTTGAATGATCCCCAAGTACTTGAGAAAAAAATCTTCATTCATAGCGCTGTCCCAAAACCCTAGGAGGAGGATGGAAGAAAAGGTCAATTAGTAGTCCAATGACATATGCGTATATGAGAAGTGGAGGTCCTGAGAGTAATGATGATATTTTGTAAAGTCAATCAGTGGAAAAGGCATGCATATCAGATATACTAATAGATCACAGAAACGGACAGGGCAGATTCTTGAAGCCATCATCAAAGAAATGATGGCACTAGGAAAGAGTTAACTGACAAAAAGAATCGCACCACAAAATCCCATACTACATCCAATGGAACCTACTAGTACTACTTTGTTAGCAAACGGATCACATAAGTAGTAATGATTAAGCTATAATGGAGTGGTACTCAATTACCTCATTCTGCATTTTCTTTTTCTTTCCACACGGAAAGTAGAAAGACATGGCCAGATTTTTCCATCATTACACCAATCTTCTCCTTCGCCAGCAACCCATTCTATCTATCTGCTAACCAAAACCCACCAAGTAAAACAGATTAAATCCGAACAAAAATAACCCACAAAGCTGGTTTGAGCAACCTACCTTGATCTTCTGTATCTAAGCTATATGATCCCGGAGATGGCAAAGAAAGATTAATATCTTTACTGCACGGAAGCAACAATTGGGGGGAATGAAGCCTGGTCCGACGCCACTAAAGTAAGATCTATGAACTCTTGTAAATGCTGTCAGATCAATGTTGGGATTGATCTAGTAAGAGAGAGAGAGAGAGAGAGAAGCAGAGTAATCTGTATAGATCTAATTGGTGGCCTCGCACCAGACAACATTCCCCTCAAAAGAGAAAAGCTTCCCCATCATCTTTTATCCTTTGGCCTCAAAAGCCTGTATAATTCTGTTGTTTTTTTAGGGGGTGGGGGGGGGGGGTTGCGGTGGGAAAAGGCAGGGAGAAAGACGGAGGAGATGTGGTGAATGAGGAGGATAGACTATATTACTAGGTGGAGGTGCTTTAAGGAGTTTGTGTGAGAAGCAAAGTGAAGCGATAGAAGATGATAAATAAAGGATGGAGAAGGGAAGGAAGGAAGGAAAAGATTATGCTTTTTTTAAAAAGAAAAAAAAAAAGAAGAAGAAAAGAGGGTCATAAAAGCAAACCAACAGTCACCCACGACCCTACAAATACCCAACAGGGTTGCTTCCAGAAGTAAACATTTAATGGTCCTTCCCTCCCTCCCTCTCACTTCTGTCTTCTAACTTCATGCAATACGGTAGCAGAATAACTATAAATTTTTACAGTCTCATCATGACCTAATCATGCCATATCGCTTATTTTTCTCCCTTGAAGGTATATATATCACTCCATATATTACTGCATATCACTCATTTGTTTCCTTCGATCCAAAATTTTTGTCCTACTTCTCATCATTTTGAAATATTCTAAGATATTTGTCTTGATTAAAAAATCAAAACCGTTTTTGGTCTCTTTTTCCAATATTGCCCCTACTTTTAATTATATCTATGTCATATTCAAATTCAAAATTTGAATTTTGAAGAATAAGATTGGAAAAAAAATTCAGACATTACCGTCAAATCACTATTGATAAAAAATTGAATTCCCAAAATGTGACTAGAATTTTAGGACGAAAGGAGTACTTTCTTTGTTTTGTAAAGATAATTAATTAAGTCTAATTTTGTATCGAGGATAGTAATATATTACTCTTTCTATCCCTATGAAGATAGATTTATTTTTAGGAAAAATCGCTCAAAATGTCTCTCATATTTTGTAAAATAATTTATTTCATCTTTCACTTTTAAAAGTGTAATTTTATGTCCCTTGCAAATTCACATTAGTCAAATTTGATCCCTACCTATATTTCTAACTAGTTTTTTATCAAAATCCACCACGCACCTTATACGTGATTATTTTTTAGAGACAAAATTATCAAATCAAATCTTATATAATCCGATTCATAGTTTCTCACATTTCATAAAATGAATTATTTTGTCTCTCACATTTCACAAAATAAATTTTTCATCCCTCGTATTTCACATTTTTATCCCTCACTGACCACGTGTATAAATAATTTTTTTTTAAATTCACATATATATCCATTTGATTTCGCTGAATAGTACGAATAGTATGTAATTTATTTTTATTTGATTTCACTTAAATAGGGTAACTGTACACATACTATTCAATAGATATATACATGGGTTTAAAACTAACAATTTTATTTTAAACTCATGTATATATCTATTTGATTTCACCATGTGAACTTGTTTAATATTTGTAACATTTTCTCTTTTGATAATAATTCATTAATTGAGTTGTGTAATAAGACCATCTAAGTAATTGGTTCTAACTTGAATTTTATAGTCATGATAACAAATTACAGATTAAATTTAAAATTTTTACTCCCCACCTTTAAGACTAACGGTTAAATTACTTGTTTTGTGATTGTTTTAAAATTTGAAAATACTAATTGCTTATTTCTTTTTGTCATACTTTTCCTTTGTTTATTTTTTCTGTCCAAATTTAATTTGATATAACACTCGACAATATTTAGGATTAAATCTCTTCTTTGTTTTCAATTTTTGAGTAAAAAGAAATGAACATCAGTGAAAACTTACAATTTTTTTAAACCCATATATAGGGCTGCAAACGAACCGAGCCGCTCGCGAGCGGCTCGAGTCGAAATCAAGCTCGAACTCAAGCTCAAGATATTAAGCTCGTTAGCTGGCGAGCCGGCTCGCGAGCTCGAGTATATATATATATATATATATATATTTTATTTTAAGTATATATATATTTTTATTTTTTTTATTTGAAGTATATATATATTTTTTATTTTAATAGTAAAATTACATATATATCATTAATATTTTATTATTTATTAAGAAAAAAATATTATTTTATTTATTTTTTAAAAAATAAAATAATTATTTTTTATTTTTTTCGAGCTCGAGCTTTAAATTGTTGGCTCGTCGAGCTTGAGTTCGAGTTCACTAAAAATTAAGTCAAGACTCGACTCGATTAGGCTAAAACTCGACTCGGCTCGGCTTGTTTGCAGCCCTGCCCATATATATATATATATATCTATTTGATTTCACGTTAACAATATAAATAACATGTAATATATCTCTATTTGATTACGCTTAAATAAGTTAATTATAGTTGTACATATGCTATTTGTATTATTCAGGTGAAATCAAATAGATTCATACATTGGTTTAAAAAAATTTATTTATACATATGATCGATGAGGGATGAAAAATTTTATTTTGTGAAATGTGAGAGACAAAAAAATTCATTTTGTGAATTGTGAGAGACGAAAAAATTTATTTTATGAAATATGAGAAACTATGAATTGGATTGTGTAAAATTTAATTTGATAATTTTGTCCTTCAAAAATGATCACGTGCAAGGCACGTGGTGGATTCCGACCAAAAACTAATTGAAAATCTAGGTAGAGATCAAATTTGATCAATGTGAATTTATAAATGATGTAAAATTACACTTTTAAAAGTAAGAGATGAAGGACGTTAGAACGATTTTTCCTTATTTTTATTGTCACACAGATGGCCTATTTCTATTGACACACACACACACAGTAAGAAGGACAAGTTGATGTATTCAATACAATCAATTTTGTTTTATTTAGTACGTCCTTTCTTCATATATTACTAATTCATACTAATTTTAGTATAATATTTATAGCCCTTACTTAAATAATTGACTAGTGAAGTTGCATATATATATATAGATATATGTGCATATCATAGTAAAGTAATAAATTAATTATACTCTTAAAAAGGAAAATAGGCTTACATAATTTACAATAGGTACAAAAGCAAATTGAGTCTGCCTTAACGTGAAGGAGAGATTGGTTGATATGCCGCAAAGATGCATCACAATGCCTCGTGATGCATTGTGTTTGACATATCTCATTCATTAAGGGGAAGATGATTTTGTCTATTTGCAATTGGACAAAACAAGCCACTAACATCGATTTTCCTTAGTCAGATTTTAATGAAATTATGATATTTTATTAAAAAAAAAATTGACTCTCCTTAGTCTCCTATGCCTATACACATGAAGATTCCCGAGGTGAAATTCCTAGATTAGATGGGGACTCAGCAAAATTTTCACTTTTGTTGGACTGTAGATTTTGTGGGTAATATTGTAATCCAGCAATTTATGTGTAACATGAAAATAGGGACCCTAGATCAGTGCGTTACTACATTTTCTAAGCTTGCTGGGGGATAGCCCGGCCCCCATAGCGTAGCATCGAACACAGCAAACGCACAAGGACTGAGATCCCTCCCCCAAAAACAAAAGAAAAAAGAAAGAAGAAAAAGCCAGAAATGATCAGCGTTTGTCCGAAAAATCTCAGGTGCTTCTCATCGCCATTTCAACAACTGGGGTACCTTGATTTTGATCCATTTGATTTCTCATCACTAATTATCACGGATCGGCCCCTCTTACCCCGTTTGTGCTTGTATTATACTATATAATAATAGAGCCCTCTCACTTTTCCATGTTTTTACTTTCAGTAAGTATTTTAATTAGTGATGCATGGAAAAGGAATACTTCAAATGCAAAATTACGCACACCTATCAATTCTTCCCAATTGCTTCCAATCCTGAAACTTATTATTAGGGAATGGATCAACGGATGAACCTGCGTTGTGCTATGTTATTGCATTCTTTCTTTGGTTGTGCGTATCTTCCACCTTCATACCCCATCATCATCATCTTCTTCTTCTTTTTCTTGGTGGTTGAACTTGAACATACCTCCATCTTAGGCCGATGATGATGAGCAAATAGCCTCCGGATTCCAACGGACATGTTACCAAATTAAAATTCCACTTAAGAAAGAGGAAAAAAGAAAAGAAAGAGGAGAGAGAGAGAGGGAGAGTTTCATCTTCATCATCCACAGTCACCGCTTGTCCTTGGCATATGTGGAAAACAATAATGATCCGCAACCTCTTTTTGACCTCCACGACTATGGTTGACCTACCCACTCCACAAACAACCCCAAAAGCCCTGCCTTGATTTTTGATCCCTCCCAACAACAGATGAGGACAGCCCTGCCTTGACTTTTAGTACTGCTCTAGTCGCTCTCTAGTCTAGTCTAGTGTGATTCACCCCTTTTTTTTTTTTTTTTGGGCTTTGGTTTTCTTCATAAAGATGCCTTTTTGCCCTTGTGGTTCCCAATTCGCGTCCAATGTAATTCTGAACGTGCTTAATTAATATCCAAAATTCATCATACCTTGATATAGTAAATTGAAACTTGAGCAAACGCAGCTGCTAGCTAAGCTAGGCTGGCATTGTTAAAGCTTACTTAATTTGTGCGTACGTTGTTGGGATGCTTAATCATTCTGCAATAACCTTAGCAAAAGGTGCAGGGAGTAGTTGAAAAGTGGGAAAGGTGAGCGCCCTTTTCTGCAAAAGCTTTTTCACTCCCCCCGAAGTTAGAGAGTGTTTTTTTTTTCAAAAAAAAAAAAATTTACCTAATATTTAATTTAATTTTCGAGGAAGATTCTTCTCATACAAAACAAAGGAGAAACTTTAAACCAGGGGCCTAGCCTAACCCCGGATGGGATGTCTTTGATGTTAGAAACTACCAAACCAAACATTGACAACAGACATCTAGAATTACGGGTCATGACTTTGGACATATGTTTTGGTAGAAATTAAAGAAAACATTCATTTTATTATTGTTAGGAGCTGGTCTCAGTCTCGGAGATTCTCTGTATAATTTGGTGGTTTTAGAGTTCAATTAATTAACCGAGCCTAGCCTAAGAGTAGTGTTTGATGATCGATCAGTTTTATACAGCAAGCAGATGGATGAACCGACTTCCAACACCAACTCTACATAGACCATGTATATATATATATATGTAAATATATATATATTCCTTTAGTAAACTCGGGATTAATAACTTTTTTTTTTTATAAAAAAAAAAAAGAACAGAGAAAAGAAAAGA